CACCATGCCCGGTTAATTTTTTCTATATATTTTTAGTTGTCCAATTAATTTCTTTCTACTTTTAGTAGAGACGGGGTCTCGCTCTTGCTCAGGCTAGTCTCGAACTCCTGAGCTCAAACAATCCGCCCGCCTCGGCCTCCCAGAGTGCTAGGATTACAGACCATTAGCTTTTTTTGATGAATATTCGGTTTTGGACTGTGTTTTGGCACTTCATCTTTATTCTAACTATTGTGCTGAACACTTGAGATTGTCAAAAAGAATCCATTTTTCATCATACGTAACAATACAGTATAGAAATGGTTCGCCTTTATGTGGTGACAGCAAAGAAAGGCAAGCTTTTTAGACGATTTCTCTTCTGATGCTCATTTAATTCATGTGGAACCCATCTACCCAGCTTCTTTACCTTGCCCATTTGTTTCCAGTGGTCCAGTATTGGAATAGTAATGTCAAATCTTACTGCTAATTCACACATAGGTTGAGATGGATTCACTTCCACTACAGCTTTCAGCTCATCATTATCCACCTTGGTCTCAGGCCACACATGTGGCTTATTTTCCAGATTAAAATCACCAGAATGGAACTTCTCAAAACATCAACATACTGTGCGTTCGTTAGCCACATCCTTCCCAAACACTTCATTGCTATTTCAAGCTGTCTGCACTGCATTGGTTCCATGATAGAACTCATATTCGAAAATAACATGAATTTTAGACACATCCATGGTTTCATAAAAATTACTCTAAAAAAAAATTTGAAAGATAATCACGAGCCAAAACATGAGTTTGAAAGAATGAGGATGTACCTTCACAATTAAAAAAAAAAAAAAACAAGAAACGTCAAAGTGAAATGTCAAGAAATATCAACCGTCAAACTTAGTACTTAAGAAAATCAGACATTCCATACTTAATAATCTAATATGATGGAGAAACTCAAGCATTCTCAGGGTCACCAAAGTTATGGCCAAAACTGAGTTCAAGGACAAACAATTGATAACTAGTGACTAAACTAATTTTTTATTTTCTATTATAGAAACAGAATTCACCAGAACAATCATATTTTAGCTTTATCTTGTTCTTATTATTTGCTTCAAACATATCTTGAACTATTTCTCAGAAAATCCTATCAAAATATAAATCATTTTTATAAAATTTCAAGTTATTTCAAATCTGTCCCTAAACTAAAATTTCACCATTCCCTCTGAGCGCCATAAAGCAATGAATTACAGTCAAGAAAATTTTAAATTTTTTCATGTATATCTCTCAATAAATTATTTATAAATTAGAATCAGTTTATGACAGAATTACTTTATTAAATTTTCTTTGCAGAAAAAAACTTTTTCTTTCTAGTTTACTTTGTGTTAAATTTCAAATACCTATACACCAATACATAAAGCTCTAGGTGTTTTTTAAATTACTGTAAAGACATTTTGTTCTTCTTGTCTAGATATATTAAACCTTTAGCACTGTATTATTATGTGAATCATTTATCAATTTATGTTACATTTGTCTACTTACCTATTCAATTTACACCGGAGATGAAAACTTTAAAAAAGTCTGCAATAATCTGTATTGCATTTCTTTTAGGAACGATATGGAAAGCAAAGTGGAGTTAGGGTAGCCAGCTCACTACCACCATGCTCTTCAATTTTCAGACAAAAATCTCATTCCCAAACACTAATTCTAAAGACTAAATTTAAAAAGCTGTACAAAAACTAAATAAGCCAGTATCACTAACAGATGAAACAAACTATTTCGAAATGACTCCTGTGCCCATTTAGAACTGGCCACCATGTCTCAATAGACAGAAGAAGCATGACCAAGGGCTTTTTAGTCTACTAAGGCTGGCAAACCCAAGCATGACTCTTCAGAAGTGTCCTTCGTATCTGATACAGACTAAGCAATTGTTGGGGCAAGGATATGAGTGGAAAGGTCAGGTCAAAAAGAAGAAAAAAAGATGCAAAGTATAATATGAGTACACTGTGGAAAAAATCAACAGCTTGTATTTAAATTACTGCTTCAAAATGCTCTTTCCCAGTAGAATAAATTAATAAATTTGCTTGTCATAGTCTCACTAGTAACTAAAAGTGAATTACAGTCTCACTATTAACCAAGGTAAAATTTGAATTACACATATCAAAAGTTACAGGCAATGTTTCTTTGAAAACCTCACTAATGACATTAGATGCAAAGCCAATTTTCAACATTCACTCACTCAGTAAATACCAAGTACCCACTAAGCGCATGGCACGATGCTGGGCCTGGAAAGGGGCATGGCACATCATTTCACACAAACATTCTTACCTTCAACTGAAACCCAGTTTCATTCACAGTCTCCTTCCAGTTTCCTTCCTAAAAATTGAAGTTAATTTTAGAAATCATCATTGTAAAACAAAACAATACATAAAGAATATTCCTAAATAAATTACATACCTATCATTCAGTTCTTATTTCAGGGGAGATGGGAGAGAGAGGTTAAAAAAAATTCCTTTCACTTCAAAATTAAACATACAGCACAGATTCCAAAACATTACTAAAAAATGGACCCAAGATTTTATAGACTTGGGTTTCAAAAAACTGAAGACTAATTTTGACGTCATTTAAGTGATACCAAAATGTACTGTCTTTAGTATCTTTAAGTATAAATATGTTAGCCAGAGAGTGATTTAATCCAATAATTTAAAATCAGGACAAAAAATACAATAAATTGAATATAAATTAACAAAAAGATCCTTAAGATAAGCATTCTACAGTTAAAAAAACCAAGTCAAATGAATATTTTAAAAAGACTGAATAAAAGAAAAATACCTGTGTTAAAAACAAATAGAAGATTTTATCTCTACACAGGATGGGATGTGAAGCAATCCTCAAGAGAAAGTTTTCTAAACCAATCCGTCGTCTCTCCACGAAATCCGGATCCATGTTGTCAGCAGAGAGTTTATGCCAAACAAATTCTGCCTAGGAAATAAAATAACCATTAAGAACAGTCTCAATGCTAAATACTTCTAAATTACTACCATCATTTCACTTCTTACCCGTTTTTCTGGTAAAGGTGGAACAACAATATGTGGATAGTAAACTAAAAGGTAGTTTCTCAACAACTCAAATTCACTGTATCGCCTCCACAGTGAGTCTGTTAGGACACTCTGACCATCAGTGTGTTCAACAGACCTGAAGAGGAACAGAAGAACATTTATTTCATTTTTTAAAAATAAAAATACATACACATAAACACAACCTCCTTTAAAATTTATAACTCTATTTACTGAATGCTTATGAACCAGGTAAAGAACTTTTCATGTATTTTCTCATTGAATCTTTACAACAACTCTGTGAAGCAGAGATTTATTACGACCTTTTTACAGATGAGGAAGCAAATGCACAGTATATGCTCTGCCCACAGTCACAAAGACCTGTGTGGAGCACTCAGATCCATCTGATTCCAAAGCCCTCACTCCTAACTGCTTTCCTTCCCTTATAGAAAACCTATTTCAACTCAAGAGAAATAGATGTACTAGGAACATTCTAAAAGCCTCAATGTATAATAATTGATTTTATAGTATGATAAAATCTGGTTTAGTTAGTGCTCCATTAAATAACAAGTATTTTTAACTTTACTTCTGCCATGAGAAAACGACTTCCATGACAAAGAGCAAGACACCACAAAACCTCAATTCAGATTATAAATAAATTAGATTAATCCAAGTACCAGGAAATACCCACAAGAGCAAAACATTAGCTCTGAAAGAGTGAGGAAGAGGGGTCATAAAAATTCATCCCTAGTCTTACAGTTAATTATAAAGATCTGGCAGGCAGTACCATGTCTCATCCATATAAAAGTTCAACTTATGGTTGGGGAAAATTAAGGTAAAATCATATATAGGATATTTAAAACTATTTTGACTATTTAAGATTTCTTGTTAGCATAAACACTGTTAGAAACACTGTCAATCTTCTAAACATTAGTAGGACCTTCCTTTTTTCTACTTGTTTGTTTGACAATAATTTGTTTGCCCTCCACATACAACCACAGTGTGCATTTGTACATTAAGGCATAAAGACATAGAGGCTAAAACAGTCTTAGAATAAAACCAAGTCTTGAGAAAGTATTTACGTCATGCCAAGCTCAGCACAACAGATGCTTGTTTTTATTATTTATATATTAAGTTTTCCAGCAAATTTACTGATTGCATATTAATAACAAGGAAACCAAATATGAAATACAAAATGCACAAATGGCTCCTATAGCAAAAATATAGGAATTAAATCATAATTTCTGGCCAGGCGTGGTGACGCATGCCTATAATCCTAGCATTCTGGGAGGCTGAGATGGGAGGATCAATTGAGCTCAAGAATTTGAGACCGGGCCGGGCGCGGTGGCTCACGCCTGTAATCCTAGCTCTCTGGGAGGCCCAGGCGGGCGGAATGTTTGAGCTCAGGAGTTCGAAACCAGCCTGAGCAAGAGCGAGACCCCATCTCTACTAAAATTAGAAAGAAATTAATTGGACAACTAAAAATATATAGAAAAAATTAGCTGGGCATGGTGGCGCATGCCTGTAGTCCCAGCTACCGGGAGGCTGAGGCAGGAGGATCACTTGAGCCCAGGAGTTTGAGGTTGCTGTGAGCTAGGCTGACGCCACGGCACTCACTCTAGCCCAGGCAAAAGAGTGAGACTCTGTCTCAAAAAAAAAGAATTTGAGATCGGCCTGAGCAAGAGCGAGACCCTGTCTCTACTAAACATAGAAAAATTAGCCAGGCATGGTGGTGTGTGCCTGTAGTCGCAGCTACTCGGGAGACTGAGGCAGGAGGATCCCTTAAGCCCAGGAGTTTGAGGTTGCTGTGAGCTAGGCTGACACCACGGCACTCTACTCAGGGCAACAGAGTGAGATTCTGCCTCAAAAAAAAAAAAACATAATTAATTAGAGTTGACCGAAACATTAGCTATGACTAATACTATTCCAATCTAGACTCCCAACTTCAACTGAAAAAGTATCTGTGTTAATCTTAAATTTCAAATTATTCAAAATCACTACGAACAAAACCCGTATCTTGCTAATAAGTAAAAAATAAAGCCAATAAGCAGTATTCTTACAAGGCTGGTAGCAGACCTGCTTAAGTGTTTTTTTTTTTTTTTTTTAAACCATTAAGGCAGGATGTAGTCATTAGAAACTGACTCAAAGCACACAGAAGACTTTCAATGAACCCCAAAACTACCCCATTTCTAATTATTCAACAAATATTTAGTAGCACATAATTGGTTTTACATGCAACATTTAAGCCTCACAATAAAGTAAATATTCGTTAACCTTGTTTTATAAGTTAGAAGAATTAAGTAATGACACCATATTGCCTCCCAAAAGCCATCAAGGTATCCAACCTATTCTAAAAAAGATTTATTCTTATATGTATTTTAAAAGAGTGCATAATCTACAAACAGGAACACACAAAAAAATCTCTTGGGGAATGAAAAACTAATGACTTTAGCCTTATTCAATCTTAGCCTACTAAACTATTGACACCATAGAAGAGGATCGTACCAAAAATATCCTTTTTTATTTAAACTTAAGAATTTATTTAGAAAGCTAGAGCTAACACTAATTTCTAAAGCATTATTTTTTAAGTGGCTAATTTTAAAAACAAAAAACCTCTCATGGGACTATAGACAATTGCTAAATGGGCTTTCTACTTGTATCCGAAAGGTAGGTAGGTAAGCTACATGACAAAACTTCAACTTTTAGTTGTTATGAAGGCTCAATAATATTTATATTGTCTGCAATTGTCTGCCTAACACTGAATCACAGATAGAATACTACATGATTAAATGAAGAAATCTGATGGTTGTGGTTGCTGAAGGTCAGTTAACCTTAGGAATAGTATACATACAAAATCAGTACTTCTCAAATTCAATGTCATATAGACATTGGGTAGATATGTTAGATAGGCAAGAATTTCTCTAAAGAAAACACAAATCATACAGAAAAAACACAGATAAACCTGACTATCTTAAAATTTAAAGGCTTTGTATTTTAAAAGATAATCAAAATCATGGTCCATGGCCCATATGTATCAAAAACACCTGGAGCTTTATATAAAAAATGGCCTAACTCTAAAAAAGAACCACCTTACCTCCCTCTTTT